CGGTTGTGAGGAGTAAATAAAACAACAAAGAAGACCATCATTGATACGGAACTAATGTTTCATACATGTTAGCTAGCCAAACCAATCTTCCCAGGACCGGTTTTCCTTGTGGTCCTGTGCGGAATGAGAGAAGCCATACTGGGCTGAGAGAAAGGAGTGAGAAAGCAGGTGTGAAATGATGAAATGACCCAGGACCATCTGGGGATAGCTCTGGGAGCAGGCATAGTGACTTGGTCCAAATAGATTAATGACTCTTAAATGACGCATTACTGCCAGAATGTCAGAATGGACCGCAGCCCCAACCCAGCGAGTAATCCAGAATGGATTAATAATCCTGCTTATAGAAATTTAGACCAATTGGAACTGGTATTTTTTTTTCCCACAGCACAGCAATGGTAACAAAGAGATGTGGGTATCGTCTTCACAAAGAACAGCTAGATGATCTCAGATCAATTTCTCTGCCTGCTGCCAGTCTGAATGCGGACTGCATGAATAGGGCTTTGGCAATAATGACCAGTCCGACAGTGGTGCCCGCTGTTTCTCCCTGCATCAAACTTTACTTCATAACATAATATCTCTGATAATGTTGTGTTCCTGAAGAAAGATCTAGGGTGTAAAAACTCGACTAGAGATGTGCTATGCCATCCAAGACTTTTTAGAATTTGGTCCCAACCTTCCTTCCATCATCTTCAGAGTATAAAGTTATTTATTATTAAGCTATGGATGAATCATCGAAATCCAGAAGTGACAATTTATGAGATATGCATTGCCTGTTTGAGCTCTCACCACGTTATTCCATTAGATAGCAAGATTTAAAAATGTATATCACATTTAATAAATCAGAAAGCAAGGGAGTTCCAGACGGATTAAGTAATCTGCTCCGAACTTGAACAGTAAGTTCGACATATTTTGCTGCTTGTATGTTCTTTCATTGCTTTGGCTCACTCGCTTATCTCCACAATTTACTCCAAAGAGTGCCATTTTCTGGGGAACAAGCCCTGCAACTTGGAAGGCTTAACACTGAGGCCACAAAAAAAGACTTGGTCTTTAGGCTGAGTCTGCTCAGATGTGTTTTATTTGGTAGCTTATTTAGTGTCTTAAAAATCAGATTTCATAGAAGATTCTCAATTCTGGCCTTCCATGAAAGATCTGAAGGTCTGGCAACTAGGCTCACATTCCCACATAAGCAACATCAGCTCCAGCTGAGTGGAAGCCTGCCTTTTGGCCAGGCAGGGAGCTCGAGTTTTCCCCAGCTGTTACCACTTCATAGTGCCGGCTGCCTGCTTCTCTTTACTCATTGATGCTACATGCCTGGCCCTACTCAGCATCTGAGTTTGCAGCCCTTGGCTTAAAGGAACAAACACACACACACACACTTACACACACACATACACACACACGAAGAGTAACCTATCTACATGTTAAAGATAAGATGAAGCATTTTTAAATTATTTCTTTTAATTTTGAAATTATAATATAATTATATCATTTCTCTCTTCCCCGACTCACCTCTAAACTCTTCAAGGCACTCCTCTCTGCTCTCTTTCCCATTCATTGCCTCCTTTTTCATTAATTCTGTTATATATGTATGTGTACACACAGGTAAACCTAAATACATAAGTACAGCCTGCTTAGTTTGTATAATTTGATTGTATATATGGTTTCAGGACTGACCAGTTGATGCATTTTAGTTGAAGAGATGACATTTTAAGAATATCTTTTTATTATGTTAAGATTTGCATTCCCAAGGAGAGAGCTGATATGGTTCTGGAATATTTTCTCATTTTTGACAACAGAGCAATTTGACCCAGAACTTTTCGCGATGGTCCTTTTGGATAAAAATCTTTGCAGGGCCTTTTAATTAGGAATTGACAGGGTGATTAACTTATAATTCACAAAACTAAGTGTGGAAGAGAGAAGTGCAGGTCACTCTCTGGGGGCGCTGGGCTGCAAGGACAGTACTATTGGCAAGTGGTTCTCCTTCTCACAGCTTGTCTCCTTCTTCTTAATTGGATCCTTTGTTTTCTAATTGGATAGGGCGAACCATCACAAGGCTTTCAGTTATGAGCTGTGGCATGATGATCCTGTCATATGGCACATGCTAAGTAAAGCCAGACCCAGAACACGTAAGATGGGAGAGCCACCTTTTCCAGGAAGAAAGAGGTGATCTCTGGCAAGCTGGGTAGGGAAAGCCTCACGAAGTTGGCTTTCTGACTGGCTTGATTTTTTCCAGAGAGACAGGTGCAGATTTGCGTTCCTATTCGTTATATTAAAATGTCTTACTATTATGTATAATTGCCTCTGAGAATACAGGGTTATTATTGCACTGTTAAGAAATGTTAAAAAAAAATTACAGACACATGACCCATGTATTTGCAGAGCCCTAGCCCCAGTAAGAGAACAGAAGTCTTCTCAAATAGGTTTGTATCTCTTTACCGCTAGGAAATTTAGAGATTCTTTGTCCAAGTTATTCTGTGTCTCTCTTATTTTACAACCCACAGTGGATCGCCTCTGTCTACAAGAAAGATCTGAATATCCCACTTTCTGTAGTTCTGTCTTCCTAAATCGCCAGACATATACATATCATCTCTAAATACTGACGTTCTCAGTTTTTGTTCTGGTGCACAACACCCCTCATTCCTATTTGGTGTGCCTTCTGTATTTTTCCTAGTCTAATAAATCTTAGTAATCAAGATTATACAGAAGGTTCCCCAGAGTATTCTCAACAGTGAAACCTTATCTGTTTTCCCCAATTACAACTTATTTCTTAAACACCGACTAATATATTCTCAATGTTTCTGTAACGGGCACTGCCCATCTCTCTGGGCATTTCTATGTACAGGCGTTGAACCCTGAGGTGGACATGGTTGCCCTAGTGACCAACATCAATGATCTTGTACTGGATAGTAACTAATCCTTAGGCAACTGTCTTCCTTTCCTACAGAGGGTAGTAATACATAATACGTGTTTTTTATGACAATCATATCATCAGTGCCTCAAACTGGGCCTGGCTCAGACCAGGTGAATAAGAGACCCTTGCTAACGTTCCTAGTTTTGCTTTGCTGTTGTTGTTTTAATGGAGAATACTGTCCAGCTTCATAAAATCGTTTAGTGCTCCAACCTAGCGCGGAAACTTGGCTTTAACACGGGGGACAGTGATTCTAGACATCATGGCTAACTGAACTGTTGTGGAATATCATGACCTTTCTGTACTTTTCGAGTGAGCAAGTGAGAGCCTGTGATGGGCACTTTGGCTCAGTACCTTGGAAAGGCCTTCCTCTAGAGGGGAAACATGTTCTCTGATGCAATGCCCTTAGCAGGCAGGGACAGGACACAGCTGGGGTCTGAATCAGGCTAAATCCCATCTGATTGGAAATCAAGAAGCTGATGCTTTTGAAGATTATGAATCTGGAAGGCAGCAGAGGCAAGGGGATGTCAATCTTTGCTCAAAGCAGGTAGCGCCACTCTCTTTGGCTTTGCAGCCTGATTTCTCTCTGGTCGAAGCTTCCAGAATAACTTTAAAGATGGATTCGTGAAGATACAGCGTTTGCCTCCTGGAGCCTCTAACCCTGCTGTTCACTTTTCAAAAGGAGAAATAATTAAAGTCTTGGAAAAGACACTTCATTGAGAATGTTTCAGCCTCGAGAAAGACTAGAAATAAATGGCAGAAACCCATGTTTCATGTTTCTGTGTTTTATTGAGTACAGTTTTACATGTAAGAATCTTTTCCAGCTTAGCCATCCTATTGCTTCACTATTACTGATAGCTTTAGATAATTAATCTTTTTCTTGTGACTTCTCTTGGCTTTGTGATAGGATGTGTGTACATCCCACTTGTTGAAACCATGGTGAAGAATTGATTGTGCCCTCTTCACTATTCTTGGTTGTGAGCCCATGTATTGGCACCTTTACTAAAATAAAGACATTCAAGAGGATCAAACTTACTGTGTCCATCCTCAAGCTAGTGTCCTCGGGCAGCACCGCGGATGCTGGTACTTGAACATCTGACCGTCTCTTAAGGCTGTCTTTCTCATCTCTGATGCCCCATCCATGCTACAGCATATGCCTCTGAGCTCATTATTGCTCTGAGTGTCTGCTCTTGGATCCATGTTTCACACATAGTATTTACATGCTTTATTTTTCATTTTAGGATTAAATCAATAGCTAGACTTTCTTATCACACTGGATTAGCTTTATTCATTCCATTTGAGTTTATTAAAAAGCTGTCAAACATAAGTCTACATTTTTATCAGCAGAACTCTTTCATAAACCGGCATGAGATGTGTTCAACTAGAACAAACTTTTCAAAATACAGCAATGTTTGATGTATTCTAGACAGTTATCCCTTCATTGAATCAATCACAATTGAAAGTAACCATCAAATGGATAAAATAAAATGAATCTAGTCAAGGAATCCTTAGGGCATAATAGTACAAGCATTTAAAAATAGTTCTTTTTAGCTGGAGTTTGTATAACTCTCCAATAAGATAGCTTTCAAAACTTATTAAAAATTCTACATAAAATGGCATAGCCAGGGAAAGGGAAGATACACAATTTGATGAAGAACCAACGTGGAACAGCAGTGCAATCCTTGTGTAAAATAAAGATCAATCCATTTAATTTACAAAATGGTATGTTTGTGGAACCAAAATAGTTTTTACCCACAAAGAAAGAACAGTCCAAACAAATCTCTTGAACTGTCCTTTTGTTCTTCAGAAAAGCTACCACTCAGCATGCTGTATTTGCAAAGCTCACCCATCTCTGACGATCACTGGGCTGTACAGTTGAAAGATGAAATTACTCTATTTTGATTGAGAACAGAGATGCCTTTGTATTGCTTGTGTTCTCTCTGTGGATGCTTAGGCATGTGGGGACACAGTTGATGCATTGGTGCATATGGATCTTGATAGGGTACACATGTCCACACTCTCAATCTTACCCACAGTTTCTCTACATGCTCACAGATCTGCACACACACCAGCACACACATGATGCCAAGGTTCAGTAGTACAGCTATGCATTGGTGCTGTCTTGTACACACTATTTAAGAGTGTGAGACATTTATGATGTATTCCTAGAATGCTAAGAGGAACAACACTCAAAGGGTTAATGTAGAACACATATAGGAAAATATTGTCATTTATTTTATTCAAATGTTTGGAACTTAAATACAAAATCATCACGAAGTTTTCACAAAATGAAGCATCTGTCGCTTGGAAGGAAAAAATATTTCAGAAATATGTTTACAGAAATGTAAAAATATTAGGCATGAAGACAGATGTGAACACACTCAGTAGCTTGTCTTGTCTGTCAGTCTTCCTTTGAGTTGAAGATCTTATCATACTCGTTCAGCATGAACTCCGCTATCTGGTTCTGGTATACCATGTGAATCGCCATGTTCCCCGACTCATTTTCAGCTCGCAGAAGGGTGGGTCCAAATACAATCCCTAAGCTTTGTGTGGACATGAGATTCTTGGAGGCTCTGGCCACTATCCTGGGGAGAAGAAAAATAAAGATATCATTGATGTTTAAGGTGAAATTGTGCCTAGCTCTAGTTCCAGGGGAAAAAAAAAAGAAAAATGAAGAACCATGCTGCACTATTTGATCATGAGCCCTTCCTGAACAGTATACTGAATGGAATCAGAACATTATCTTGTCCAGCTTTAAGTCCTCACTATAAATGGCTATTGCGGATGTTCAAAGAATATGTTAAACAGTAAAAATTCTTGTGGAATTAAAAATATTCAGCCTTTGAAGTGTTTCTAATCAATGGAGAATATAGGTGACATATTCATAGCTTATATTAGAATCCAAAATAATAATAGAAAATAAATGTATAGTTAATAATGGAAGACAGACATAAAGAGTGGGATAAGACTTTAGCAATTAGAATGAGGGACATATTCCTAGCAGAAGTTAACTGGAATATGCTTTGCATAGGAGGTGTGGTCCTGAGACTTTTGGGTGTATGTCAAAATTCTGTTTCTCCATTCAGTTGGATGGGTTATTTTCTCACGTCTTAATAGAATGAAGAATCTCTTGGCATTTCTACAGAGAAAGAATCATTCTGAGATTAGAGAGGTACTTGCTCACATGAGGATTGCATAGAAAGCTGGGACACCTTCAGTACAACAAAGATGTTGTATTTAAGGAATGCCTTATGTATCACCAAAGGACTTTTCAAAGAAAACCAAACCTTCTTGCCAGATCGACACTTAAACAGGGAATGGACTCATAGCTGATAGTTTAGGAGCACAGTTTCAATGGCAGTAAGGAAAGAAGACAGCATGCATAAGGCATGGGCTAAGAAATGCTATTGTAGACTTCCAGACAGCCTGACCCAAGGAAAGTATGAAGACAGTGATTTTGTTGTCCTCAGTGTTCGGTGTGGAACTCGGTTGAACTGCTGAGAACTTGACACCGTCTTACTTAGCCTATGCTGGTCTACACAGTCCAGAGTTGGAGGAGACAGCAGACTCTGCTTTCATTACTTTCCAATGGAACCCTTGAAGTTCCATGCTCTGGCTTGTATCTGAGCACAGCCCAGATTACATGTAACAGAGTGTTGGCAGAAAAATGTACTTGGTTTAAAATTTCCCAAGCAACCATAATCGACCATTATTTTTAAATGATTTTCTTGTGACATTTACTCCCCATAATAACCCAACAAAGTAGGTTCTGTTGCTAGCTCTGTTGATCAGGTGAAATGGTTTGGGCTCTGTGAACCTAGGGACTGACGTCATGCAGAATTAAGGCTGGTAGTGGGTTGCGTGGTTCCAGCTCCTCAGGACACTTCATCTCAGAGTGTCTGGTAATGCCCTTATGCTTCATAAAGGGCTCAACATTTCACTCCTCTCTGCCTTGCACAATTATTGTGCCTACAATAAGAGGCTCTGAATTTTCATCCTTCACGGGACAACTGTGGTTGTCAATTTGGTTGCGCATATTTATTGTGGGCAAAATGACTGCAATCTTTTCTCTTTCTTTTATTTTTCATTTTTATTTTTTGTCTTTTTGAGACAGGGTTTCTCTGTGTAGCTTTAGACCCTGTCCTGGAACTCACTCTGTACATCTGCTGACCTCAAACTCACAGAGATCCACCAGTCTCTGCCTCCCAAGTGCTGGGATTAAAGGCGTGCGCCACCGCCGAAAATGACTGCAGATCTGAGTGAAAATTTAAGACATTCTGCCGCACATTTTTCTTGTCTTCCTGTTTTAAGTTGAGAAAATTTGTACCTGTGAGTATTGTTGGCATGACTACATTTCTGGAAGGGAGTCTCATATTTTTAGAGTTTCAGTTAGTTATCAGAGATTTCAAATTTAAAGTTTCCTTTGGGGGGGAAAAAAAAAGACTACGTCACTTTGATGCTTCCTTTTTCAAAGACTGTAAAATGATATAAGCCTCCTCTTCCCACATCTGTTGAGGGAAACAGGCCTTAGCTCCCCACAGCATGGCAGTTTACCTCAGTTTAAGATCTTTGGAACTTCTTCTTGGCAAGTGTGTTATGAAAGTCATTAGTAAGACTTATTTTAAGGTAAAAAAAAATAAGGTTTTTATCTTTTGCTTTTAACTGAATGCTTTTTATGATACCAACTCCGGTGACTCCAAGACATGAACAATTGCCAAAGATAAAAATGGAAAAAACAAAACATAACAAACAAGGAATTGAGTGCTCAGAAGGCAAAGGTTGCTGCGACTTTATCCATTGACAACAAACATCTCAGCTGCGGAGGTTCACCCAGCAGAGAGCTGTTCTCTTTCATTATAGGCTATGGGGAAGCAGAAAGAAATCTCAGACAGTACTGACTGTGTGATGGCAAATGGCCTGGCAGTGGCACCTGGGGAGTGGCAGGTCATTTAGGATGGGAGTTTAGAGAGTCTGAAAGGGGAGGGGCAAGATGGAAACATGGTTTGTGTTATACTTTCTAATTTCGCCTGTCCTAATTTCTCTTGGATAAAGAACGGGCAGGAGAGCTGGGATAATTGGGAACTCAAACTGAGTGACCCCCTCAAAAAATAAGGTCAGAAGTCAAGATATCTCCAGGGTTTGGTAACTGCAGGGGCTAATCATGGCGGATAGAAGGTGATGGGGTAACTCATCCAGTGGCAGCCCAGCTCAGTTCTCATCCCCAAGGCACAGCTAGGGAAACATATCCCTACAGAGAAACGAGGCTGGATTGAGGTTAGAAACTTTGTTCTTTTCCAAGAGTTACAGGTTATTTGTGTGTGTGTGTGTGTGTGTGTGTGTGTGTGTGTGTTGGACAAGCTCAGATCTAGAGGTGGGTACCTGGTTGAGCTTAGATAGAATGGAGAATGGAAGATAATGAAGCATAGCCAGCAACTCTGAAGGCATCTCTATCTCAGTCGCTGGGCCATAGGGGTGTCCAGTGAATTTCTTCCAGTGTGTAGGTTCCTACCCCAGTGTGCTAACACTCAGTTATTGCTTTTATATGTGTATATATTCTCACATCTCATCCTAAACCTATCTTCTTCAGGTCCATGCTCCAGAAATTTCCCATCTGATTTTGATAATGCCAATTGATGAGTGCTTTAAAATGATCTCGTTAATGTAAAGGCTTCAGAATAACATAGCTTTATACTTTTTATTTTTATTTTTTTAACCGTATCTGGATTAGTGCAGTTTTTATTTTTATTATTTTAACCGTATCTGGATTAGTGAGATTACATTTTGATAGCAGTTTAAATTTGTTTCTTAAATTAAGAAAATCAAGTCACTTGCTATGCCTTCTAGAAAAGCAAGATGTAGTTAAAGAGATAAGACAATGTGGGTGAGCATTATATGTATGCTAATTACCTATTTACCATTATAAAATATAACCTGGTGGTGCATATGTAGTCAACAATTTATTTTCTGAATACCAATGAACAGTAGGTGATAGGTTAGAAAAACTGATCTTTAGGTTAGAAAGATACTGAGGCCGAGGGCCAATCTGATGAGGAAATTGCTGCTTCATGTGTCTGTAGAGACAGACACTTCTAGCAAAGAAAGCTCGGAAATCAGGGCTGCCTGGCAAATGGGTTAATGCTCTTCCCACACAGAACTTTGCTCTTCCCACACAGACCTACCCATTCCTACCTAGCTAGACTCCTGAGTAGTTAAGTGGTGGCTTGAGGAGCACACAGAGAGTCAATCCCAGTGTCCTAAATTCAGTTAGCATATTATGAAAAAATTGCTTATTTGTCACATTGTAATAGCACATTTCCTAATCTCCCGAGTGAGGAGATGTGAATCGCAGTTGAGGGCTTAACTGCTGGTGGAGCACACACAAGAACACAGTCTCACCAAAGCAATGAAAACCCTGCATGCGCTTTGTGTAACCTCCTATCTGTGGAGGGCAACAAATGCTCAGTAAGCAGTTCTTCTAGTAGTTGGAGGGGAGGCCACAGCTGGTACTACCTTCCAGAAAGCTCTCACCAAAAGTGAGTCCTGAGCAACACCATTTCTGTCATATGCCTCATAAAAAATGGTATCCGAGATAAGTTTTGAAGAAGATTGAGCTTTGTTTTGCCTCTTGAAAATCTTAATGCACAGAGCTGTTATTAAGACCCCGAAAAGACTGCAGAGAAAATGGCCCTGCTCATGCTGAGCTTCTGTAGTCCTCTCTGACTTAAGTGGCATGCCTGGCTTTCGTGCAGTCAGGGAAACCCTGACCTTGTGTACTCTGCTAAGGGCCTGTCTGCGGTTCGGAAAATGTACTGGGTGTGATGCGCCTGCGTTTCTCTGTGTCTGCAGTCTCTGCTACCAGTCCAGAGAGTTCTCCTCTTTAGGTGGATACATTCCATCATCCTTAAAGTCCACGGCAGTGTTGTGAATTCTGAGCTGCAGTTTAACCTGTTCCCCCCTCCCCCCCAAAAAGGCTGCAAGACACATAGCCTTCATCACAGAACAAACACAAAATGGCAGAGAACAAATATGAGTGAGCAATTTAAAGGTGATGATGTGGCTGAGAGATTATAATATTCTCTGAACTGATGGATGATTGGGAAGTTATGAAAATCATTTAGGTCTTCTGTTGGTATTTGGAAAGTCCCTTGATAGGTGTTTATTTGCTATTAATTTATTCCCAAGAAACCCTAATAGCAAAGATACCTGATTTTCAGCAGCTTGAAAAACTCAAAATTAAGCTCCCACCAATGACTGAGTACCAGGCTTCAGCTCTTCCTTGAGAAAGACTAAAGAGACACTTCTTTATCTAATAGAGCCTAACAAAGACTTAACTATGATTTTATAACTGTGTTTTGCAATAGCAATGATACATGTTCATTGTAGTAGCAACGCTTATAACACTAGGTTAAATCCAAGTTTGTACAGAAATGAATGACTCAGATTTTTTCTCACAAGGTCAGAAGAGTGATACCTTATAGCAATATAGGGAGAGAAAATGTGACTCCCACTCCCTGTCAGGTGACAGTGACCCATCGATTTTGGATTAATAAAAATGTAGTCTGTACTACAACACTATAGATGTTGG